TTATAATGGTAATTAAATAATGTTTACATATGTATAAAAGACTACATTAAACTACATTAAAACATCATATAAATTGGTCTCTTCATTAGAAATTAGCCTACTGGTTGCCACCATTGATGGACAAATTTTTTTAATAATATTAAAAATATCTGTATGACATTATATTCTGCAGTTCTTCCCTGTTGTACCGAATATCTATACTTTTCAAATTATCATATCGAAGTTAGAAATTAAAATATTGTGACAAAATTAATTTTGTAGGGTGCCGCAAGTTTGTTAAAATTTCCAAAGGGTGCCGCGACTAAAAAAAGGTTGGGAAACACTGCCTTTAAGATATCGCATTAAACTTCGAAAGTTTAATCGCATTAAACTTCCATTTCCTCTTTGCTTGTTGTAAAAACACTCGCTCAATTTGTTTCTGGTCAGATAGAGATGCAACTTATGTTCCTCAACAAACTCCGCCTATATACTATCATCATGTCTCTCCTGCCTCTTGCTCTTCCCTTGCAAAGTTAACTTGGCATCAGTGCAGACTGACTTTCAGACAAAATCTGTTATTTCCAGGAGGAGAAAGAAAACTAGTAACAAACTGGGTCTAACAATATCATAGAACAAAAATGGAAGCTGAAATTGCATCCTGGAAAAAAAAGGCTGGAAGTTTGTCAGTGGTACCTGCGGATGCGCTGTGTTGACTCCGGCAGGTTCATGTTGAGCGTTCCCAGCAGCAGGTTGATGTAGTGAATCCAGAGATCAACACTGAGAGAAACTGCCTTCAAACCTCGTTCACACACCTGTCAAGGGACCCAAATACAGCATTACATCTCCGCTGCCATATTATGTACAAATCATCTTTAAATATGACAAAATTACAGAAAAGTGAATACAATAGTATACCAAGTAATTTTATGTTTTGGGATTGTTCTTGTTCTTTTGTATTTGACTAAAATGTCCATCTATGCATGTTCTCACCTCTTCAGCCTTATCGACGTGACCGGCCCGTCTCTCAAGATCCGCAAACTTTTTCCAGTAACCGTAACACAGAGGATACCTCAGTAGAAACGCATTTAGGGCTTGACGGCAAGCTCTCATGTGGCCCTGCAATAAATAATGAAAAATTTAAAACCAACTAACATTTTGGTGCCACCCCAATAACGAAACACTGCAATCTGTTTACAACACATTCACCTCTTGTTCACAATACTGCAGGAGGTCAGTCCAGCTGTTGAAATCTTGAGGACTGTCGCTGGTAAGTTTCCAAAGTCTCTGGAAGTCTGCAGGCATCTCTCCCTCTTCCTCCTCTTCTCCTTCCGCTGTGTAGGGTGTTGTTGGGACGCCTGTGTCCCCTCCATCTGCACCACTCTCCGCTGACTCCTCAACATCTGTCTTGGGAAGGTCTGCAACCTCAGGCTCATAAAGCTCTGTCACTGAAATCGATGTATTGATAAAACAGACTACGGTTTAATTCACTGTATTTAATTAGGTTATGATGCAGAATATAGGGGTAAGAATAGTTTATCCTACTCAACTTATATCACAGTTAGTAAAATTGAATCTCGCTTTGGTCTCGCTATAACCTTACTGGACACAAAGTGTTACATATTTTGTTGACGAAAGGTGATTCATTAATTATCCATTTATAAAGGTTAGTCTGCAACTTAATCCTCGTATTAAATTTAACATAAATGTGTCAAACAACTCTTACGGGATAAAAATGCTCAAGTTTGAATCAGTAAATCAATGGTTATTTAGATCGCTAGCTATTTTATGAAGACGCGCTCGTGTAATAACTGATGCATAAAGCGTTTAAGAAATGAATACGACAAACTATTCACACATGCTTAAAAACTCGGTGTTTTATTAGGTCACTTTTAAAAGGAAACCTGAAGGGTTTGTGAGTTCCCCGTTGTTGCCCAGGTCCTCTGTGCCTTCCGCCGCCATTATTGACCACACAACAAATGACGCATATAAAGTGCGACCCTTGCTCTTTCATTTTACTGTCGCAGTAGATTGTCGATAGCAAGGTAATCATCATACCGCTGCTGTATGATCCATAAAATCTCGAAGAGAAAATTAAATAGTGTTACAACTGAGTGAAAGTGACACATTTTAAATATGTATTAAATAAAATAAAAAAAAACAGCCTGGAGCCACTTTTGACGTAAAACATTTCAAAAGCTATTTCAGTACTATTGCTTAATACCCTTTAATCTCAAGCTGCTACTTTTAAATGGAATAAGCAACTATCATAAAATTGTGTAGTTATGTCTTCACAAATCAAAATGTTATTTTGAAATTTTTCCACGAATGTGCTGCCATAGAAATGAGGCAAAACAAACAAATGCAGTTGGGAATGTACAACATTTTTTATTACCATCTCATTTGAACACTCATTAATCAGAACTGTAGACATTATGTTTTGCCTCACATTTTCAGAGCTTTCAGGGTCACCCTCAAAAATGGAATGAAACAAAGTGGAAAATCAGAGCAGTAGTGTAAGATGGTCAAATGGGAATGTACACAAAGCTCTCCTTCACGAGACATTTACTTCAGTCATTTTCACAAGATATCAACAATTTTATAGTGGATGACAAAATTAACCTCACAAATCATCTTCCCCATCACAGTAGATTAGACTGAAATAATTATAAGTGCCTGACTGTTTCATTCTGCTTTGCTGGATGAAAACATAAATCCACTACCCACCCCAAAAACAGCATATTCAAGTGCTCTAGAAAACAAAAATGTAAGCAATAAGACAAAATAAACACAGATTTAGTGGGTTATTCCCCCTGTAAAACAATCCAAACCCAAGATCCCACATCAAATTAACTAACTAGGCCATAAGCAAATAGAGCTTATTAGTAGTCTCCGGTGAAGAACTTTCAAAACTGAACTCTAAAACCCCTGATGTGCTCATAGTTAAACCATTTTTTAGATCTTTAACATTTTAGACAAACAGAATTGATTTGTGAACCTGTCGTGTTGTCTTATTTTTGAAACTGAGCAAATATATTTGCTAAAGACTAATCTACTTCAGTAATGACTGGGTTTTCACTGTGCTCATAGGGTTTAAATACAATTAACACTCATATCTGCTGCCCTGAAATGATTTAAATCCACTGCATGATTCAGTTAATCTGACTTTAATACTACTTTTCACTACACAAAATTAAAAACAAAGCTTTTGACTTTTGAATGACATTACATTTTAAAATGGAAAGCATTTACGGTCTGACCCTGCCAGTTGGATCCATTTCTTTCTAGCACTGAGAAATATCTCTGACCCATTGCACCACTTGTTCACTTTTTAATTGATGAATTTGTAAGTGCTCAATGTGTTTATGAATTAAGAGTGAGATTTTCAACAGATTAATTTTTCAAGTGATTTTTTTAGATCTCGTGTCATCTGGCCCCGGCCGCTGTAGAGATCCAGTGAGCTACTGCAGCAGCAGGGTCCAGTCGGCCCCAGCATTCATCCCAGGTTTACGGAGGGTTAGCACTGACATGGAAGTGTCAAACTCAAAGTCCACAGGGGTTTCTTTGCCTGTTCGAGAGATCATGAGAAGATTAGCATGCCATACAAACCGAGACCGTCATTTCCGCTGTAATACAAGACATTATTTTTCCGATATTACAATATTCAACAGGACTGAATAAATATCTTACCATCCATTTTAAGAAGAACCTTGCTGGGTTTGCTGGCACCCAAAATTAGAACTTTTTCAATCCATGATGATGTTAAGAAATTACAGTCTGGGCACAGGTTGCTGAGATGAAGGAAAGTATATGAGTCAAAATTACTTATACAGAATTGAATAAAAAAATGTCTGGACAATGAAGCAGATAAGTAAAGGACAGATTAATATAAAATACCTGGAGGTGAGAGCATTGTTGGCAAAAGTGAGGCTCCGATGAATAAATTCTTTCTTTGTATCATAGTTAAAACTATGGCCATCATCAATGTAGAGCTCGCCTTCAGCAAATTTCTAAAAAGTGTGAAAGAGAGAGAAGAAATTATTATTTTTTTTATTCAATTCAATTATACCATTTGTTTTATTAGTCACCAGAAATATCTAGTTCTTTACCTTAGGGCTAAGGGCCACATACAAGGAGTATGGGTCATTTTCCATGCAGGCGGAAGACCTTCGAACTCTGTCCTTCCGAGGGATGATAGAGCCACCACGCTGGAACACCGGGATCTTAAAAAAATAACAATTAAAATAAATAAAACTCAAATATAAAACTGTTTTCTTGAACAAGGAGAGACACTTACAGAGCTTAGAGTGACTGGGATGTAGAGATTCTGTGCACCATTGTGTTTTTGAAAGGTGTGGACATCATACCAAACCTGGAAATAGAAAAAAAAGAAAACAGTATGAAGCATGAGTTAATCTAATATAATATTCAACATGTTATATACATTTGCGTTCATTTTCACATCAAGTACATTTTTGACATGGACGAAAAGAAAACATTTTTAAGCTTTAGTTTATGTCATAGAACAACGGAGCTGGTGGTAGAAAATATTCCTGGGATAAATATACTCATTCTAGCTAGCATTTCCACAGCATTTCCTGAAAGAGAGAGATTTTGATTTCATAAAGTATGTAAGTCAACAGTATCACCTCTCCGGCTCCAGGCAGATAGGCTGTGACTCCACGAGACCCGTCCTCTGTGACTGGGTGAACCAACAAATCACTGCCTAAACAACAAAAAACAGAATACATTATAAATTACAGACTGATTGATATTAGACTTGATATTAGAAAAGGTTTTTTTCCAATTTCTCACCAATTAGGAATTCATCATCAATGGTGAAAGTTGCTGTGTCCTTGGGATAATCAACCCAAAGAGGCCTGAGACACGACAGAAAAGAAAAAGTGCACTCATGTAAAATGAAGCAGTACTTATGACTATACAAACAATCTAGTCTGTGTGAAATAATGAACAATATCATAAGCAAGCATTCACAGGGACCTCGCTCACCTCATGACAGGCATTCCGGTCTTATGTGCTTGGTATAACAGCTGGTACCAGTATGGCAGAAACTGGTGATAGCCCAGACTGGCGAGGGGAGGGAAAGACTGGGTGCCTAGAAAGTGAAAAAAGCCCCATAATATTTCTGACTCATGCCTGAAGATGGTTTAGTGTAGTTTAGAGGTCATAGGTGACATTTACCTGTGAGAGAGGCGTATTGTGAGAAGACATCTGATGGTTTGGGCCCAAGCATGATGAAGACATCGATGATACCGCTCTCAGAGATCCAACGGACGTCCGTCTGTGGTTTCTCACTTGAGCCTTGAACAAAGTCTAGCATCTTACCAAAGACAGTCTGAAAGAAACAGAATAGTAACAATGACGTTATGAGTTAAAGTTTTAAAATACACAAGAGATTATAATATAGAGACGCCTAGTGACCTCTTACCTTTCCCGCTGTATTAGAACTGATGTCTACCCAGGTCTCAGCTGCATTAAGCCAGAAAATACCCATGGTCCTCTGTGTGTTATGAGCTAGCATGACAGGTATGGATCCATATAAGGCCATAGGGTTATAGAGCTCATACTGAAACACATCTAGGTTATACAGCCTGTATGGATCACCACCACTAGAAAAAGAAAAAAAAAACCTTGCTTACTGATTTAATAGGAGGTGTATTTCGATTTCTGTGTATTAAGATGTATACTCACTCTGTGGTTTTGAGTTTTAGGTCGTCAGCATGCTCTGGAATACCGTACACATGTTCTACACCAGGCAAGGAGAAGTCTAAACTTATCGATGTGGGGCCTAAAGAAAATATTGAAAAATAAATATTAACATTTAATTATTGTGTGATATTGTGTAATAAAAATTTAAGTCCATCTCTGATAGCCTTGAGGCCATCAATATGCTCTAATATGCTACAGTGTACTCTAAAATGTTAACTACATTAACTGTATACACTACTGTTCGAAAGTTTGGGGACAGTAAGATTGTTTTTGCTTTTTTAAAGAAATCAATACTCTTATGCTGCAAGGATGCATCAAATTGATCAAATGTGACAATGACATTTATAATGTTAGAACAGATTTATATTAAGAGCCCGACCGATATATCGTTTTGCCGATATTATCGGCCGATATGAGCCTGTCGCCGATATATCGGTATCGGCGAATGCCGCCGATATGAACATTTTTTTTACAGAACATGTGTATATATATTCTGTTTATGTATATACTGTATTCTATATATAGTACCAGTCAAATGTTTGGACACACGAATGGGAAAGTGTCCAAACTTTTGACTGGTACTGTACTAAAATATACACAAAGAATATCGGCCGATATATCGGTATCGGCCTTTTTTTTACTCCCTAATATCGGTATCGGCCCCAAAAAACCCATATCGGTCGGGCTCTAATTTATATTACAAATAAATACTGTTCTTTTTAATGATTTATTCAGTCCTATCCCAGTTTCCACAAAAATATTATAGCACAAATGTTTTCAATTGTTCAGTGACAATAAGCAGTATATCAGAACGATTTCTGAAGGATCATGTGACACTGAAGACTGGTGTAATGGCTGCCGAAAATTCAGCTTTGCCATCACAGGAAGAAATTGCATTTAAAAATATATTAAAATTATTTTAAATTGTGTTCACAATATTACTGTTTTACTGTATTTTTGATCAAATAGTGTAGATACTTCTTTAGTGTAAATACTTTTTTCAAAAACAAAACAAAATGTACACATTTGAAATTTGCAGTCTTTCTCTTCTGGAAAATCAGATCAAAAATATTGAAAACCTGTATAGCACTACATGGGTTTTTGTCCAATCAAATGCTGTCTATAACAATGTAATCATTTATGACTGTGATGCAATCAAACTAAAGCTTATTGGCTACTAAAAAAAAGGAATAAGCCCTTCAAGATGTTTTCGGTTTCAGTAGAAAACACGTGAACACCAATTTAAAAACTGCACTCGTCAAGTGATTTCATGGAAATGTAACTGACATAGAAACATACCATTCGGTTTGGTATCTGTGTGAGATTTAAACGTCTCTTCCCACAGTCCATCTTCCTCTTTATCACTCTCTCCATCCTCATCCTATTGTGCGGGGGAAAAAAATTGAGTTTTATTCTTGGTTTCAGTTCTCAATGTGATGATCATCAGGTCACACTTCTTTAGTTACTATAGTACTTTCACACATATCAGTGTTGCATAACCGCTACATAAAGCTGCTAAACCAGATCAGGTACAGCAACCGGACATGTTGGTTTTAACTGAAGACGTGGCAAGATGACACTGAATCAGGTTGTAGTATTATTTACCTGAGCACACCCACAAATGCACAAAAACAGCTACTGACCTTCTCGCCTTCATCTTGCTGTTGATCTCCATCTACACTCTCTTTAACCTCAGCACCATCTGGTTGTGCTTGCCTTTGATAACACACCCAACATACAGACAAAAGAGAGAATAACAATAGTAAGACTTAAGTAGTAAATGGTTTACATTCATCACTGACATTTACTAAATCCTCTCCACTCTGCAGCAAACTATCCTATACTTTGTTCTGCTTATGGGAGAGGACAGGGAATTATTTCAACCTAAGCACATGTTGAATACCACTTTTGGGGTGAACTATCCTTTTAAATGCTTGTAGTAATAGCATTTTTTTTTCAACTACACTACCGTTCAAAAGTTGTGGGTCAATAAGAAATTAATGCTTTTAATACTTGTTTCTGAGGATCATGTGACACTGAAGACTGGAGGAATGACTGCTGAAATCACAGGAATAAATTGCATTTGAAATTATTATTTAAAAAACTAATTATAAAACGGTTATTTTAAATTGTAATAATATTTCACAATATTACTGATTTTTCTTTATTTTTAATTAAATAAATGCAGCCTTGGTGCGCATATAAACAAATCAGCAAAAACATTAAAAACCTTACCGACCCAAACTTTTGAACAGTAGTGTGTAGGTATTTTTCTCAGCTTCCAAATAAAGCCCATTTTAGGAGAGAAAAACTCAATACTCACGTGTCCTTGTGAAGACGCAGGTGCTCAAAGGCCAGCAGGCCACGAGAGTTGAGGGATAGCAGCACCTCTGGCCCCTGCATGATGTCCAGCCTAAATGGACGGGCACTAACAATCAACCTCTGGTTCTTCGCTCCCAGAGACAACACAACGCCATTATCATCCTTGGACAACACTGAGAGACTGGAGAAAGAGAGATACAGAGAGAGAGAAACAAAGACAGACGGGAATCAGATGCAAAAAAAGGCAGCAGAAACGAGCTGAAGTTACTCAGAGGAACACAATAAATCATGCATGTGTTCGACTGCTGAATGTCATTGTGTACTCTCAGATCAGAGACACACTCACGGCTCAGTAGGAGGCTCTGCTATGAGCACGTCTGGCACCTCAAAGCGCGGCTTCAGAGGTTTCAACTCATTTATTTTCACCCGCGTCATATTCCCCTGCAGTCTGTACAGCTCCAACAGCAAGTGCACCTGCAAACAGCAGTAGAGTGATCATCCAAATCATCCAAAATCCTGGCCTTTGAGCAGGGACATAATCCCAGCACATGTAACAAGAAGGGCAGACTAACTTCCTCTCTGATTTGGCCATAAATGGGACCAGATAAACCACTGAATATCAAGAAATTCTGCAGATCTTTTAACAAGGAGATTTAAAAAAAATACTGTTTTCAGAGATATCAGTTAAAGGAGGGCATGAAACAGACCTTGTTGTTGTCATTGATGAGCTGGAGGGTCAGTCGGGAGTCACTGAGCTCCAAGGTTTCCAGAAGAGCTCGGTATGGGGACTGACCCGGCTTGAGCGCCCGTTGACGTCTACGGACAAACAGAGACAAAAATCATTGCATCTCTGCAGCCTTTGCAGATGCAAGTCAAGAACTCTCTCAACTACCAAAACAGAGTATACGGTGGATAACTTCAATTTTACATATGTCAGAATAATACAATAATAACTTTGTTATCTTTCACAGGATTTTTAACATGAAAATTCTAGTTGCACACTGCACAGCTCATCTATAACGTAGTGATTAACAGTATAACTCTGACATACTTGCAGAAAGCACTCTGATCACAGGTTTTAAAGTTTCCCCGATCCACAGCAATGGTGCTGCTGAAAAACAGAGACACACAGACCACAGACAGCAGCCCCATCCTAAAAAAAGTACAAGAGGAGAAAGTTTGAAGTAAAATAAGCTACTGCATTTGATCATGTTTGAGTAATGAATGGGCAGGGTGGAGTAACAATAGTGCTACGTTCACTTCCTTATTTTATGAGATAAGAGCCATGATTTAACAGCTTTTTATATTTACATAGTGAGCTAATTTTTATATTTGAAAAAAAAGTTTAACACCTTGCACGTGACACAATCTGGTGTCATTCATTCAAAAAAGCAGCTGGGATGGCATTAGATGCATGTAAAAACAACGGCATAATTCAAAAAGCTGTATTTTCTCAATGAAAGTATTATTGTGTATACTCGTTCGCTCCATAAAGCTTAACTTCCCTTAATTAAAACATACCGGTTAATTTTGGTCTCAACTATATGCTGGATAAAATAATCTGTAAACTCTTCAGATTTTATCTAGCATTGCACACCGATCAACTACAATCTTGACCCCCGAATTGCATTTTTTTTTTAAAATATATATATATAACAACGCCAGGATGATATGGAAAAAAGCTGCAATGCATGCGCAAATAATCAATGCGATATAAAAGATACTCGTGTGTACTACTTTACGTCAACCATAAAGCTGTATAAAGACATCAATGTCTTATGAATTAAAAGATGACTCGTCAAAAGGCCAGCGATGGCTCAGCCACGCATTCACATCTACTATTTGCTTTCTCGTTCAACACCTGCAGCAGCTTTACACCCCAACTCTCACACGAGCTGCCCGTCGGTTAGCTTAAAATAAAGACAGAGGAAATTTTTTAAAAAAATCCATAATGACTAATTTATATGATATCTTAGTCTTTGTTTTACCTTTCCATGGCGATAACCGCCATCTTGGACACACAGCATTAAGCCCAGCCTCCCGGAGGTTGGTTGGTTAGCGTGTTTGCGGGAACACTATTGGGTAGCAACCGAATCCCTACAGGCCGCACTTACCATGGAAACCAATCCATCTGACATGTATGCTTGTGTAGTCGAGATTATTGTGTGATGAAACTACATTATATTACAGATAGGCAGGGATCATTCAGCACAGCTATGGTTCGTTTCATGTTGATTTGATGATGAAAATTAGACATTGACCTACACTAAATTCTCTGAATTTTTATCTTCTATGATAACATGTTGTGATAGCCTTGTCATCCTAGGCGATTTTAATATTCATATCTGTTGTCCGGATAGGCCCCTAGTTAATTTTCTAACTGTGTTGGACACTTTTAACCTTACTCAGTTAGTAGTGGGCTTTACTCACGTACAAGGCGTACACTGGACTTGGTTTTGTCTTGGAGTATGAGTTGGCTGTAGAAAACATTGGGCTCTCAGATCATTATTTTATTACTTTTAATATGGTTTTCTGTATGATCACTGGAGGCAGTGAGTCAGCAGGTCGTCGTGTAAGGCCCATTAAAGGGATACTCCACCCCAAAATGAAAATTTTGTCATTGATCACTTACCCCCATGCCGTTCCAAACCCATAAAAGCTTTGTTCGTCTTCGGAACACAATTTAAGATATTTTGGATGAAAACCGGGAGGCTTGTGACTGTCACACTGACTGCCAAGTAAATTACACTGTCAAGGTCCAGAAAACTATGAAAAGCATCGTCAGAATAGTCCATCTGCCATCAGTGGTTCAATCTGAATTTTATAAAGCAACGAGAATACTTTTTGTACGTGAAGAAAACAAAAATAACGACTTTATTCAACAATTCGTCTCCTGTGTCTCTCCGCATCACCATAGCGCCATTTTGGAGAATATGAGCTGAACTCAGGCAGCGTACGCTATTCTTTGTCAGCCGTGACACAAGGATACGTTTTCTACGTGTATTTACGCTTTGATTTGAACGAAAACAGCGCATCCATGTGGTTGATTCATGCTTCTGTGATTCATGCTTTTATTTCATCCAGATTGGATTATTGCAACTCGTTATATTTAGGGTTGTCTAAGAATCTGCTCTCACGGCTGCAGCTAGACTGTTGACTGGCACAAGGAAGTGGTCCAGCATTTATCCAGTGCTGGCTTCGCTGCACTGGCTTCCTGTTGATTTTAGAGTCCAATATAAAGTTTTGATAATGGTTTTTAAAGGTTTGCATGGCCTTGCTCCAGAGTACATTTCAAGTCTATTACAGCAGCACTGTGTTGCTAGACCTCCAAGATCATCACAGTCTGCTTTTGCATGTTCCCAGATCACGGTTGAAAACCAAAGGTGATCGAGCCTTCTCTGTGGCAGCCCCACGTCTTTGGAATTGTCTCCCATTGCACATTACATCATGTGACTCAGACTGTTTTAAATCAATGTTGAAAACACACCTTTATTCTGTGGCATACAGTTGCCCCTAGCTTTGGGACATTGATCAGTGATGGTTATTGTGTGTATTGTGTTTGAGTAATTTTTTTAGAAATGTAAAGCACTTTGGTCAACTGGTGTTGTTTTATATATAAATAAATGTTGATTGACTAACAGCATAAAATCTGTATGCCATTGGTTAATCCCATGCAGTTTTATGTAACTTTTACTTTTTATTTTAGAACTGCTTTTTCTGCAAAATAAATAACAGAATAAGAAGCATTTTAATGCATTTTTTATTTTTACAGTTTCCTACCCAACAACAACAGAGACAATGTGCAGAGTTGCAAAAACAGAATTTTTGAAATATCTTACATTCTGCTGTAGGCATCAAACTGCCTGGTTTTCAGTGCTTAAAAAAACTCTACAGAAAGCTAGACCATATAAATGTTAGATACAAAAACAGATGTGATGGTTAACAGAAAGACAGTTCCTAACACTGTCACAATTATGCTTTTACAGTGGTTTTCTGTTACTATTTTTTGACACTGACAACTCTTAAAATTTAGAAATATCAACTTCACACCTAAGCTAACAATATGTAGAAAAATATATGAATGCAAGAAGTCTGTGACCTCAGAACACCACTTCTCATAATTTGACAGTTGTCAAATTTGAAACCTCCAACAAAGGTGTCCCAGGCGGTCAATGTTCTTATGCAGAACACTATGGATGGGTGCAATATAGCGTGCAACATCACCGTCCCGTGAAAAGTCCCGAAAGAAAAGTCCTTGGTCAGCACAGAAGGTGAACTTCTGCGGCATTGGGCTGTTCCCCCGCATGTACTCCCATACACCCAACAGCAGTAGCCTAACTTCAAAGGGTGAGATGTGAGGGAAAACCTCATGGATGTTACTCAACACTGGTGGTAGTAACTGACCTTCACCCATACATGATACGAGCAAACAGGAGGTCTGAAGGTGCCAGGGAGAGTCCAACACTGATGGTTCCCTTGATGCTTCCCAGTGAGCCAGTAAGGTGGAAAGCAGACCTCTTAAAATGACGGAGCAGTAGCACAGAGCTGGACGTCCAGCTGCAACTACACGGAGAAGATGGAACAGCACAGGATTTCCTTCGAAGCAACGACGAATGTGTATGTCTCGCTCAACTGTGGTTTTCGCATGTTCTTCTGGAGGCCAGGACAGTTCTCCATTTGCTACATCTGGACAAATGTTCTCCACCAGAGTTACAGCAATTACCTTTGCAGCCTCAGCATTAATTAGGGGAAGTTCATCAGAAATAAGAGGTTCACTGGCAGGGAAGCGGCCATTAGTGGTACCTCCAGCAGAACCATTTCTAGCATTGCCAGTAGGGCTTCCTCCACCTGAACTACAACACTGAACCATGACAGCAAACAAGGTCTGCATATTCTGATTGATTCTATCTGGGTCAGGTTGTGAAGGGGTGTACGGAGGTTTCAAACCCTTTCCAATTACTCCAGCATGAAACACAGACCACACGTTACCCGAGAAGTTAACAGAGGTGCCAAATTTGCAGTTGATGTCCAAGAGGGAGACGCCCAAGTCTGGAATAAGGTTGGATGACTGTGTGGTGTCATCACCTGGGTTCTCCTGCAGGCCTCCAAATAAATCTCGGTTGCCTCTGTGCAGGGTTCCCTCCACTAGTTGTTGCAGCACAGCTTTAAGTGTCAAGGGAGAGTAGGCTGCAAGACGTGACAACAGTCGCATAGAGTATCCCACTTCCTCTTCCCCTACCCTAAGACTCTCCCCTTGCTGTCGTAAACACACAAAGAAGTGTGACACTGCCGCTCTACATATCAGCAACAGATGAGATGGAGAGCAAGCTCTGGGAAGCTGGCTACATGAAAGCAGACGGACAGTTGCCTTGGATACCATAGTGTCGCCATGAAGAAGCAATGGGCAGAAATCCTGAAGGTGGTTGGAGATGGCAACTCTAACTTGCACGGCCATTGATGACTGAGCTGAACTACCTGTTGCAGCCCCTCCATTTTTCCGATCCTCCTCTTGACTCTGTACCGCAGTAGCCAGGTTGTTCAGGAGCTGAGCCAACTGTTTGTTGTCAAGGGTTTGAGTGTGGATCTGGGCAACACAGCGGGCTATTGTTGACGGAAGCAACCCGGAAAGTGAAGTGGAAAGTGGGGTGTACAATTGCGAGGCCAGAGCAAGCTCCTCTGGGTTTCGTGCTTGGGTGAAGAGCTGACACAACGCTTCAGTGGCCACGCTTGGGCCACCATACACGGATATCAGACACAGGAGCTGATGCAACCAGAGGTGCCTCTTCCGCTCAAGCCGGAGGGTTTCAGCGCACAGATCACCTATGTGTCCCTGGAGCTCCTCTAGAAATGGGATCACTTGCGGCATTGCTGGGGCAGCAGAGGACTGTGGGAAGGGTTCATCACCCTCTGGTCTGTTGTGCACCAGCTTGTGAAGATGCAGCAGAAGCATTTGCAGTAAGTGGTCACAGTTTTCTCGAATACTATCATGGGGAGAGGGTGTAGGGCCTGATATGATCACTGAAGATGGTGTAGCAGTGTCCGCAAGGAACTTCAGTACCCTTGCTCCACCTGAAGGGCTTTGGCTTATGAGATGTACCGCTAGACCCAACATATTTTCGAGCTCCTCCCGGGGCAAGGCCTGGAACTGAGCCTGGAGTTGAATTAGCACGGGCGGTCTGAGGAACTCCACCAGTTCTGCAGAAACGGCACCCAGGAGAGTGGGGGAAAGAGCAGCCAGTTGAAGCAAAAAAGGTACAGTGGCCCTACGGAGGTGAGGGGAGTTCTCCCACCCGCCTGCCCCAGATGAATGCGGAGGTACATTTTGAGGGGGTGGAGACAGACTATCCTGAAACATCCTGAGAAGCTCTTTCTTGATGCTATCAGAATGTCTGGAGGCCAAGTGCCCAAGGATACCAACCACTGAGCCTATTTTGGGGACTCTGCTGCTCTTGTCTATTGGCTGCTGTTGGTTAATCTTCTCAGCAGAGGAATATCCGTGCGCATAAAAGTCTTTGAGGCCACAAGCCAGCACCCTGCTGATGATGGTGCCAGGAAAAGCTGAACCAATGTGGGCGACGACCCAGTCAAAATGAGGGGAGTGCTGGACAGAGGTGTCCAACAAGGCATCCACACAAGCATCAGGGCACCAGGCCAACATGGCCGCTAGACACTGGGAGTAGCACTCCATAAGTGAGCGAGTGGCTGCACACGACATCCAAAGCTGCAGCAGCTCATTTAGGCTGGATGAGTGAGGAGCCGCCCTTCGTCCTGCATGCTTGCTGCTAAGCTGACCAAGAAGGTCAACGGCCCATGTGGACACAAGAGGAGCCCAAGCTTTAGGACTAAGCTTGATAAATTCAGAGAGGACTGCATGGACTTCTTTAATTACATCCTCCAAATTGGATATACTGGTGATGGCTCCTCCACTTGTACTGTTACCACCATTTTCACCCTCTGCCTCCAGGTCTTGCAGAAAGGCTGCAACATATTCATCATACACTCCCCTTAAGTGCTCCAAGACGGCTCCACGGCAGGCTGGGACAGTTCGAAGGAGGCGCACTGCACAGCGGGCATGATCCCGAACACTGAGTTTACGTCCCTGTGTCTGGTC